ATCGTAGTTTCAGACGAGCATGAGCGACACACTCTCGCAACATACTAGAATGCGTGCTCTCCGCACGAGGGCCGGTGCACAGCATACAGCTCGCGTTGGGTCGGGCGTCTGCATTCGTTGCGATGCGATCCTTTTGCTACCGTATCGGCAAGGCTCTTTGTTGGCCACGTGTCGGCTGCGATGCAGCGTCTGCGGGGTGCGTGTGGCTGCGTGGCTCGTCACTCAGAGCGCGCCTGACTCTTTGTTGCGCCTTCCTCCCTGCCTGAGCTCCGTTGTGCCTCGTTTGGGCGCTTCGCTGCTCTGCGTTGCTTTCCGCAGGTTCCGTTAGTGACGTTTCGCGCGCGTCGGTCCTCGTTCGCTGCAACTTCGTGAGACTCGTGCACCCTCCCCTCCCCCTTCCTCCCGGCTGCTGCCCTCCCCGTGTGCCGTATACTCTCGCGTCACGATTTGCCGTTTTCCCCGGTTTTTATGGTATTAAGGAAGTTGACTTGTCCCGGAGCTCACGGCTGGCTGCGTAGTGCGATGCACACCGCGGCAGCCGAGCACCTGCTGCACGCACTATTGGCTGTTTCGCAGAGGGAAGCATTTCTTTTGTTCTGTGTCACAGCTGCTTGTTGTGTCACAGCTGCTTGTTCACGCTTATCTTTGTCCTCCTAATCTCTTTCCACTGCGCTGTCGATGCTTTGCCCTCTAAGTGATGACAATTTCACTTTTTTTTTTGCCTGAAAAGCTCGCTATTGTTGTATGGATAAAATTCTGTATGAGACGAGTATGTCGCTCGTGCACATAGCCGCTTGTCCTACTTCTTTGACATTAACAGCACGCAGCTAATGTCACTTTTGCAAGACTTGCATGAAGTGTGGAGGTTGTTTTTGCTGGATGGATGTATAGAAAGGCCCAGTGAAAACTGCGGTAAAGTGAGCTGTAGAGGGACGTTGCAAAGGTGGTGCAAGTTGGGGGAGGGGATATGAAGTAAGAGGAAATGTATGAAGCTCGGTCGTTTTTTCGTAAATACTCGCTTTGTGAAAAAATGACAAATGCAAATTTTTTGAAAAAATGCAAATTCCCAGTTCACTAAAA